ATTTGTAAGATATGTTTGAGGGAAATGAGTCAGTGTTATAAAGGATGGTTTACACTATCAAAGTTTCTGTGATCACAGTAGGAATTTTGCATGGATAAATTCTAAGTTGTGAAGGATTTGTAAGAAATATTTGAGGAAACTGATTCAGTGTTTAACATTAAGTCAGTTCCCTCAAATATTTCATACAAATCTTTCAAAACTTAGAATTACCTATGCAAAATTCCTACTGTGATCACAGAAACTTTGATAGTATGAACCATCCTTTATAACACTGAGTCATTTCCCTCAAACATTTCTTACAAATCCTTCAAAACTTAGAATTACCTATGCAAAATTCTACTGTGATCACAGAAACTTTGATAGTGTAAACCATCCTTTATAACACTGACTCATTTCCCTCAAACATATCTTACAAATCCTTCAAAACTTAGAATTTATCCATGCGAAATTCCTACTGTGATCACAGAAACTTTGATAGTGTAAACCATCCTTTATAACACTGACTCATTTCCCTCAAACATATCTTACAAATCCTTCAAAACTTAGAATTTACCGATGCAAAATTCCTACTGTGATCACAGAAACTTTGATAGTGTAAACCATCCTTTATAATACTGACTCATTTCCCTCAAACATATCTTACAAATCCTTCAAAACTTAGAATTTATCCATGCAAAATTCCTACTGTGATCACAGAAACTTTGATAGTGTAAACCATCCTTTATAACACTGACTCATTTCCCTCAAACATATCTTACAAATGGCATAGTTGAAAAGACGGAGTGCGGAGTACGGAGTACGGAGTACGGAGTACGGAGCGCGGAGTACGTACTCCGTACTCCGTCTTTTCCACCATGCCTTTTATTATGGGTATTGGGTTGTATCAGCGACGTGGTAACATTCTGACGTTGACCATGCTCTGCTTCCCACCAGTAAACTGATTACTCGCCATTGTTTGTGATCATGTAGGCCAGATGGTGACCACAGACGGCAGTGATTATCTCTGTCTCTCTGATAATCCTGACTATGGGGCGTGGAGACCAACAAAGACGCCAGGCAGAAACTTTGGAAGCAGTGTTAGCGTACGTGGAGTCACATATGGTGACGTAGAAGATGTTGTTAATTTTATCGACCCCACTCCTCCATCTGGACCGACGAGTAAAAACAACAAGACTGTGCCTTGCGCAGTATGCGCGCGAAGTGGCAAGTCTGGCAGCAAAATGATGAGTGCAATTTATGATAGAGGTAAAACAGACAAGTTCAACATGCAGCGGGAATACTTTGGTGTCCTAATGACATCAAAGGAATCTAAGAAGTTGATATGTCTTTCTGTTGATGCGAAAGAATACAAGAACAAGAAAATTAAAAACATGGTCTCAATTCCTATCTCAAACACAGTACAAATTCACCCAGCCGAACTGAAATGTAGTTCTATGTACTGTGAGGCAGATGATACTTATTACAAAAAGGCACATAGAGTCAAATGTATAGTTGTTACGTTCTGACCGTGAACCTTACGACAAATGCGCAGTGTTGGAGCATCATTCAAGGAAACAGTCGTGTTGCCAAAGAAAGATTAGTTTGACGAACACCATTGTGGTACACGTTTTCCGGCGATTGCGAGCTTGTTTATCCGATGATAAAAATATTCATTCCCATGGAATATTGGTGTAAAGTTGATATTGGCAGCAGAGAATGTTCCTCGCATTGACACTTGCATATTTGCCAAAACAACGTGCATTGTATCATTATATCTACCGAATGAATACTATCAATTCATTGAAGTAGCGGTATTCAATATTTATACAATATATCAAGATATTATTGTTTATGGCTATGTAAGTATGCTTTCATTTCTGGGTGTTTGTGCACGCTTCCTTATCGAGGCAGTTTCGTGCAGGAGATATTAGGGACTTTAAGCCGTCCGTTTACACTTGCAATTCTTGCTTGCGATTTCCTTCTCCTGATGTATTGGAACGACTGGATGAGTTAGGAATGTTTAGATGAGGGTACACATACTCAGAGAATTCATAACTTATTTACTCGTTCACATCCATCAGAAGAAGATCGCACTAGAAATCGCAGCAAAAGTTGTAAACGGGCCTCAAGTAAAGCTTGACGTTTCCTGCAAACCGCAAGCGACAAACTTCAAGTTGCATTTGAAATTAAGGCCTACAGTTTCGACAGCTACAGTAAAAGTAGCTAATTCATACTCCAATTTTAGTGCACAAATTGCCCTAACTTCGAACAGCTATTAACAGTTGACTTCAAATTACGATTCGAAGTTTGCCATTTGCGATTAATGGTCTTCCAAATTTCCAAGCAAACATTCTTAAGCCTAGTTTAAGGTCGCGCTTATCATGTACTCAGGTAAATCAAGCTGATACTCAAACAGCCATCATTTGATATGCTAGTGCGAAATTTATTTAATTAATGGACAGTTCTATTGTGGCTGTAAGTGAAAGACCAATATAAGTGATTGAACAGCTTGGCACTTCCCAGTCTCAGCTCATGTTAAACTGCAATTTATCGCGTCGGAATTGGCTTAGTATACACTATAGGCAGGGTGTGATAATTTAAAACTTTTAGTCGTACCTGACTGGACGCGGCTAATGATTATTGCCGTGTACTTGCGCTAGTACAAACTCAGTACTCAATTTGTAATAAAGTACAGGTTTCTGATAAGTTTATTCAAACTACGAGTTAGAACCATAGATATCTTAATTTATATACACTAGATAGTGCATCTAATTATTCAACAATTCAAAAATTGAAGCCGTGATTGCAGTCTCAGGATATTCCCATGAAATGAGAAGATTCGTATGTTTTCTATTTCTTAAACAGGGACTTTCTTAAACAAACACACCTTTAAACTATTCAAATGATGAAAGTTATTGTTGTTTTTTAAGCGTTTATTAGCGAGTGGGAACCACCAACATGGCCGCCATCTATTCAAATGGGGGTAACCGCTGGAATATTCTTGGCTTCAATTTACTAAAAGAGATGCGCTATCTAGAGTATATAAATTATAAGATATCTATGGTTAGAACAAGAAGCACAATTGCATATACAAACAATCGACCCAACATTTCTTAGTGGAATCAATCCAATCATGTTTCTTGTCAGGATATGTTAGACTTACACATATTCCAACTAAATTACGGTATCAGTTGAACACCTTAGCCGTAGGGCTTAGGCTTGGAAAGGTCATGTGATACCAGCGCAGGCCTTAAAATATCTTTTCCAGGGCCGTCTGACAAAATGTCCGGTGATGTTGTGTTTGGGTCGGACATATGTCCGATGACCTTCAGTTCAGTTTTGGCTCGGAAATAAGTCTGAATGACACAAATGAATAAACGGTAAATGTTGTAAAGATATTAAATAATTTGTTTCTTTCATACTTATTTCCAAGCCAAAATTAACTTGCTGCCAGAACAACAGTATTAAAAAAGACTTCGACAACTTAAGCCCGTTTTCCACTTCTCGCTCGCCGCCCCGCACTGGACTACGTTAAAACAACATTTCCAGTTCACCTTTTATACAATAGTACTCTGATTTCCCATTTAACATACTGGGCTAGGGTACATTTTGATTTACATGTCGGACAAAAGCTACAGTTCGGTCGGACACCAATACACTCAGGTCGGACAAACAATAAACCTCAGTTTCACTTAGGTCGGACAGAATGTCCGGTGGTTTCCTCTCTACGTCGGACAATTTCACGAATGGGTCGGACAATGTCCGTGACCGACCGATATTTTAAGGCCTGTACCAGCGAAATGTAAGTGCGCAGATAGCAAGAGTTTCGTGTACCCACGTGATACTTGGCTGAAAACAAAGAAGTACCAGACTGTAATATTGGCGTACCACCAGTACGTAAGTACGCGAATTATCGCACCCTGCAAGTATAGGTCTTAAAAACTGATTCATGTCTGAAAACAACTTGTAATAATTTTCAATATTTACAAGCTGTCTTAAAAAATCAAGCAACAATGAAGCCGTATCATTTGCAAACCATCCAAAACACCAAGAAATGTCATATTTTTTTCATAGCTATATAGCGAAGTTTTGATATACCAACTTCGGTAATACTATTCTGTATAAAGAATTTAAATATAATCTAACGTTATTTAATGAGTGGTCATGTAAAGCCTAAAGGTAGCTAATAGCATATAGTGCCAATCAGTCATGATCTGATTTACGTAAAGCACATTAAAGACAAGAAGAATTCAAACTGTTTCAGAATCAGAAACCATGTTAAGCTAGCTATTATAAAGCGAGCTTTTCATTTAGCCATATTAAATGGTCAGCATGAGGACCAATGTACGGACTACTTCAGAATAGATTAATGTAACCAATGTAAATAAGGCTGCGTTCAGACTGAGTGCTCGGCACTGGTGCCCAATGTTCAAAATGGTTCACAAAACATGTTGAGCAAAGTGCCGTTGTTGAGTACTACTTTTAGAGGTAGTTCCCTTTCTTGGGCACTGTGCACAATTTCATTTGAAAGCATGGTGTTCAAACTAGGTGCCAAAACAAGTGACGGGCACTATATATAGTGCCGGGCACCCAGTCTGGACGCAGCCTAATAGATTATTGACTGATGTACTTTACACAGATCCAAGTCTTTTTACAACAGTGACCATGGCCACAAAAGTGTGGACTAAATAAAAACCAGATAAATTAAATCACCAACTATGATTGTGGTCGTAACTTCATATCAGCTCTTTTCATGCATTCATTTGTGTTCTTCCAAAATCGCCATTGAATGCCATGCCATTGATCTTGGTTTGGTCCCAGATACTGACCATTGAGGTTAGACCATGCACAAGCATCGTACCACCAAGCCCCTTTTCTGTTCGTAGCACAATTGCCAGTATTATCTTTATCTTTCGTTGAAAACTTGTGGCCATTGTGGTAGGCCAGAGAGTCACCAGCATTACCTGATAGGACAGATAAATTATAAGATTTGTATATTCTCATACCTATAGTATAGTCTATTATTGATTAAAGTTGACCAACAACTACTATTAATTCGTAAAGTTTTACCGAAATTCTACGACAAGACTTCGGAAACATCGTCTAACAAAAAGTGTAATGCAATTTTGGCAGCTCACCTGAATAGCCGGCGACATTGAGAGTGTATCGATTGGCTTCATCAGATATTTCAAAAGTGGTATACTGTGCATAAACCTGAGCGTTATTGAAATCCATCAAGTCAATTCTCAACTTTTTCAGACCAGATTTAGTCAAGCGGTGTATTTTATCTAATCCTAACCAGAATTCTCCGTTAAGATCGCCAAATCCAGATTTATATTGAGACCAGTCCAGAAAGAAATCAATACTACCATCCAGTCTTCTCTGAATAACTGTCCAACCTCCAGATTCACATCGGACTTCAAATGATCCCCGGCCATCTGGATCTATTGTATATACTCCATCATTTCCCACTCCAGACTCAAAGAGATCAGCACAGTTTGCTCCAACTGAAGAATATAGAATATAGGCCGGTTTACACGACAAGCATTTTGGGCACGGCACCCCTGAAAATGGGCACCGTGCCAAAACCGCCACTTCGCTATTTACTCGTTTACACGGCAACATTTTGTAAACACACTTTTATGATAGGCACCGTGCCCATCGGAAAACGGCACCTCTACTTTCCGTTTACGACGGTATATTTTAAAGAATAAATATGTCGGACAGAAATAGAATTATATATTTATATTTATTGGAACGAAGAAGAGTATTATATGAGCCGAAAACCGAGGGAAAAAACCAATTCAATACTAGAAAAGTACTTTAAGGCTCATATGGGCAAAATTTATCCCGGTTAGCGATCGGGGTTAGCGGAAAGTTATCTCGGTTAGCGGTTCGACAAGTTTACAAGCGAGATCTTGCCTTGGTATGAAAATAATATGAAAAGTTACACTGCGTTCATATGAGACAAAAAGTTTTCCCGTGTACCGAGATCTCGCTTGTTGACAAGCCAAATCTCGGTGACCAGAATAATGTTTTTCCCATATGCATGAACACAACTTTACCGCTTAGCGGGATACTGACTTTCTGTCGTATCAGCATCTTTTCAATTCAATTGATATTCAGTGCGTGCCCATCGGAAAACGGCACCTCTATTTTCCGTTTACGACTGTATATTTTAAAGAATAAATATGCCGGCCAGAAATAGAATTATATATTTATATTTATTGGAACGAAGAAGAATATTATATGAGCCGAAAATCGAGGGAAAAACCAATTCAATACTAGGAACGTACTTCAAGGGCCAGTTCATATGGGCAAAAGTTATCCTGGTTAGTGAAAAAACTTTTCGAAAAGTTTACAAGCGAGATCTCGCCTTGGTATGAAAATAATATGAAAAGTTTGTTTACACTGCGTTCATATAATACAAAACGTTTTCCCGTGTATGTACCGAGATCTCGCTTGTCGAGTGATAACGTTTTTCCCATATGAACACAACTCTAGTTCCCGCTTGGCAGGATAGCTT